TTTCCAGCAGAATTTAACGAGAATTTTGTAAGAATTTTGCTTTCAAAGCAAAATTCTGCTTTGAAAGCAAAATTCTTACAGAGTGCGTGTAAAATTCTGCTGGAAATACAGAATTCTAGGGAGAATTCTGATTTATCTGTATGGATATGCGTGTAGGTTAAGGCAAAATTCTGCTTTGAAAGCAAAATTCTTACAAAATTCTCGTTAAATTCTGCTGGAAAAACAGAATTCTTATAGAATTTGTATACAATTCTGCTGGATAAACAAAATTCTTAGCAGAATTATGTATCAAACGATGAGAATTCTTATAGCTGAATTGAGAAATCTCATAGAGTTCTGGTTCAGTTCTAAGAATTCTGAAAAGAATTATGAATTAGTAGATGAGAATTCTTGAATTAGAAATCAGAAATCTAACGAAATTTTACTTCAATCCTATTTGAAGAAAACAGAATTCTGAGTCAAATAATGAGTCAAATTATCAGAATTCTAATAATTATAATCTATATCAATAATGGTAAATGCTTCTATATAGCAGAATTCTTAAATTCTGCTTGTGATGAATTCTGCCACTGCTGGAACAATCATATCATATAAGACTAATTTCTTAAGCCACAGGTATATTAAACGGAAGAAACATAGTCAACATGGCAGCTATTTTTTAAAGATAGTACTTTCCTCTCCATCCTCTCGGAGACAGGAAAGTATCTTGTTGATACTCGGTAGAATGAAGAATCACTTTGCTTTTAATAATGCTTTTATTAAAAAGAGAAATTCTTTTCTACCCCCAAAGTGTGTCTAACTATTTTTTTTCTTTCATTAGACATTTTTTTCTGTGGGTGACAATGCAGCCAACAGAGAAATGTAGGCGAAGAATAATTCTGTTTCTTACTTATTCATAAAAGAAAATTTTCTCTTGACGAGTTATCAGATAAACATATTACAACTATCATGTAATTATCTGTTTATTTTTCTATCTTCTGTTGTATGCATTATTTAAGACTAATATTGAGAGAAATCTTTTCTTACGCCAACCACTTCCAAACTTACTTAAATATACTTTGAAAATCGAAAAAAATACTAAACGATAAGTTTTGTCTGATTTTTGCTGTAGAAATTGCTCAACAGAGAGCAGAATGATAAAAACCAGTAAGGTGATCGGAAAACCCCACTAATATTTCGAACTTCTCTCCTAAAAGTCTTAGAAACCGCGGTCATGTACATATGTTAAAAAAATGAAATCTATGTGCGCTCTTATAAAATTAGTTAAAAAGGATTGTACACTGTAATTACACCTATTTCAAAACTATGTCTCAGATTATTTTATTGCGCAATAAAATTTCTGTATGAAAGTATCCTTGATAATATCATTCAGATCCATGCCTCTGTTTTAAACAAATTCGATTAGTACATGTTTTGAGCACAGAACTTTTCTATGTGAAGAAAATAAGATTCAAATTCAGCATGATCCTGTGTTCATATTTAACCAGCTTTCAAGCACAGAAGAGATAATGCGTTCCATTAACTCCTTGGAAGCAAAAAAACTATACACTTTTAGTATAACTCATGCAATATTAGCGCATGAATCAAACTAAAGTTCTTACAGTAGAGGAGAAAACAGATTACTAATTTTTTTTTAGATATATTTTTCAACACGTAATAACAAGTGCATTTCTAGAAAAACATTAGTAAGTTGACATAAGTAGTATTACTTTGGAAGACGAACCAGTCGATTGAAAATTTTTTTTTTAAGATGAATGCTACAAGTAATAGCACTTTTGGTCCTTCCATGGGCTCTCCCTTTTTTATTCGTCCTAATCCAAGAGCGATTGTACTTCTGTATCGCTACGGATTGGGATTCATATTCTTTGTTGGGTTTTCTGGAAACATAGCAAGTTTAGTGACATTCATGTGTCCGATTTTACGTGTTACATCAACTGGATGTCTATTCTTTATGGTGGCCATATCGGATCTACTTTATTTATTGGTATCAATTTTTGAGTTTGTCGAAGTCGGTATAGTACAACGAGCAATTTTTCTATCTGTTTACGACAATGTCTGCCGCTTTCGTTGGTTTTCAAGAGGAATGATTCGATTTTGTTCAGCTTGGACTCTAGTACTCATCGCGATTGATCGTTGGATAAAAGTTTGCTTTCCTTTCAAGGCCAATAAATGGTGTACTCGCCGTCATGCATGGATCGCAGTTATACTCCTTATTCCGCCTGGTATTTGTCTTCATGGTCATATGCTAAGTACACAACTATTTGGTAGATTATTTCCTGGTATTCCATCAGCAGCATGTGGACCTATTGATCCAACCACATATTATCTTTACTTCTTTTTTGTTCATTGGCCACTGATTCAGGTACTTAAAAGGAGAGCAATATTTGAGAAATATTCTATTAAGTATTTCAGGTCACTTTTTTGTCAATCATTCCTGCATCGTTGATACTTTTCAGTAGCATTAGTATTCATTATTTAGTTCACAAGAAGAAAAAACGTATTCAACCTACAGGAATCAATAGTTATGAACGTGCAAAACAAACCCGCTTACAACGGCACATGTTACTCTTGATGATATCGAGTTCGATTTTATTTTTGGCTACAACTGTGCCTATTACTATTTCTCAAATCATCAACGCCTATCGAGTTGCTGCAAAAATTCTTACGGATATCAATGAAAGCATCACTCAAGAAGCCATTTTACATCTATTGCTTGCATTTAATTATACTGTAAGTTATTTTTTTTTGTTACAGCCTTTACGAGAAACAAGACATGCACATAATTCTTGTTGAGCAATTGGATTGTTCTTCAAAGTTTTTGCCTAAGATGATTACAATAATAATATTATCAAGGGAAAGAAATATATACATATATATTTATAAATTATAAAATCATTTACAAGTTATAGTAATTGTCTTATATTCTGAGATTTGATTTTGACTTGTGTTGTTTTTTTCTAGATTAACTTCTATGTTCATTGTCTGGCATCGAAACTATTTCGTAACGAATTTCTTCGATGTTTCAAAATAATAAAGCAATCAAATGGAACAACGATAACTAGTAGTACTGCAGGACTCACTGCAAATGGTGTAGCATTCGTCACAAATGCTATACCTCTTGTCGAAATACATCATAATCGGTCTCGCTATTAACTATTATGAATCAGCACTTAGAAGAACTATAAATCATTCATCTTTGTGAACATTTTGAGTTTTCAAACATTCAATAGCCTTTACTTGTAGATTTCGATGATTAAATTGAAGAGTACATATTTATAGTTCAAATATTATCATAAGTATTATAAATAAAAGAGTAACCAAGTATTTTGCTTATCTGAGAACTCTTCTATGAGAGAAATTGCATCGATTCTTCTTTTGAAAATAAAATCCCGTGCCTATTGTGTCTGTAAAGTTACAATTCAGCATAATGGGAACTGTCATTAATCAGCTAAATTCGTCCTTCATGACTTGTCATAAGTAATCAAAGCATTTCTCTCGGATCAAATTATCAAACTTCTATAAAAATATCTCTATATAGTGTAAAATCTAGATATACAAACAGTGCAACATAATGAAATAACTATAACTACTAGGTATGGAATATAAAAGCTATGATTTTCTTTGAACTTATCATTCGTTATATAAGTAAAATTAAAGCTTCTAGAACAACAAACAAAATATGATTATGCATTGATGCAGCTTGTTTTTCTTAATGATTTATGAAACATTCATGTATGTTTTTGGTGATTTTATGCGGCTTGATGATGTTGCAGGTTTTAGTTCCTTGCGAAAGAAACACAATTCTCAGTATATTTTGCCGAAAGGAAGCAATAGAAAGGAAACAAAACAATCTAATTTTACATGATGTAATGTCGTCAAAGATGAATGACGTAGTAAACCATTTCTTGGAAAAGCACACATAAAAGTGACAAAAATACACTTTTATAAACACAGAAAAAATCGTGTGTTCGGTAATATCAAATAAAGTCTGTCATGTTACTAAAGAAATAAAGCTGACAGTATATAAAACAGCAACCATATCTACGGATCGAGCATTCATACTCTCTAAAAAAAAACCGTTTCCTAGAAAACCGAAACCAGTTCGGAAACCCTCTCGGAAACCTTTAAAGGTAT